TATGTCACTTATTTTTAATTTTTATTTCTTTTTAGTTATAAATGAGAGTAGGGTATATTGACATTTATACAAACAGGAAGTATGTTTTATTCTAATTAGGATCATGTACATACTTGTGGATGTACATGATTTGGAGATTCACTATGAAGATTCATATGTGTACATAGAAAAGCCATGTTATATTCCTTCCATTGTCTTTTTGGTGTCTATCCCTGCTTCTTTCCCTTCCTTCCCCTTTGTCTAATCAGCTGAACTTCTATTCTTCCCCTATCTCTCCTTGTTTTGTGTTAGCATCCACATATCAGAGAGAACATTTGACTTTTGATGTTTTGAGCATCTGTTTATTTTACTTAGAATGACAGTCATCAAGTCATTCTTTTTTTATGGCTGAATTATATTCTGGTGTGTGTGTGTGTGTGTGTGTGTGTGTGTGTGTGTGTGTGTATAAAATCACGTTTTCTTTATCCATTCATCTGTTGAAGAGTAGTTGTTATTTTACAAACTGATTATTAGGTGCTAGTCCCAGATATTCAGTATCTGGGGGAATTCTCAAGCTTTCCACTTGTGAATAAAGTTGAGAGTAAGAAACATCTGTCGTTATCTTCATCCTATTACCACTGCCAAAGTTTCTAGCATACAGTATACACTCAAAAAAGATTGCTTGGTTGACTGGGTGACTGACTGAAGTTATTCAATATTATTTGTAGTAATAATTGCGAATAAAATGAATATTTAGGTTAAAAGATAACATTTAAATAATTGTTGGTATATCTATATAATGAACTGTGTGGAATATTTCATGTAATTAAAAATGTTTACAACTTATGATGTCATGAAAAATACAAGCCGATGTACAGAATGTGTAATTCACTTCCTACATTAGAAAGTGTATCAGCTTATCAGTTCTAGCAAAATAGCTTGCCAGATATGGTAATATAAATCATATAACATGAATAATCTTACCTTCGTTCCTGCTATGTATAACCAGAAGTAATGAAATATAACAAAGATTGTTGCTTATATATAGCTGAGCCATTAAAAAAAAAAAAGGAAAAATTCTCAAGGGTCAGAAAAGAAGAGAGAATGGAAAACTAGAGGAGTTATCATCTAAGTTGATGCTGTTTTTCCCATTTAGGGAATGGGAGTTTAAGAAAAGGGGAAATGAGAGATGAGTAGTTGGTAGACCCCATAATCTAAGGGGTTATGTTTTGACAGAAAATGAGGATTTGAGTACTAGTGAAGTATAAAATTGGAACTTGAATTGCCTTCTTATAGTACAGTCTGTCAAAGGGCTTACTACAATTAGAGAGGCCTTTAAGCTTTTTTCTTTTTTTAAATCAGAATAAAGGAATACAAAGATACCTGTTTGCCTTTATATGATATGGGCTTTAAGAATCAATTACCCTTAGGGAATTTTGGATTTAATATCTGTAATAGGTACTTGTTTTATTTAAAAAATTAATAAAATATTGATCCCATGGCAGTAATGCTTCTGGGATCAGAAGTAAACACAGAAGTAAACACAAAATCTCATACTCATTTCAAGTCACAAAGTATTTCCACAGATAAAACTTGATTAAAGATGTATTTACTTTAAAAATTTACAGAAATTACAAGGAAGTAAGCTAACAGGACATTCAACAAATTCAGCTAACAGCAATTATACCTAAGAAAAGAACAGGATGTTATAAATAAATACAAAATGAATTCCAATAAATAGAGTTCTGTATATGGAAAGGTCTTTGAAGTTAACAACTCAACAATAGATTAATAGTAATTGAGGAGAGAGGAGCTAAGGAAATAACCATGGAGGTAGTGCAGGGAAATAGTTTTTAAATATATGGAAGTGATTTTTGCTACTTTTTATTTTATTTACTTTTATTGGTGTATTATAATTAGTGGGATTTGGTGCATATCTGTATAGGCATATAATAAATTAATATGATTTGGTTAATTTAATTCCCCAGTATTTTCCCTTTTGCTTCCTCTTCCTGATTCCTTTCCTGTACTCTACTGGTTACCCTTCTGTTTTCATAAGAAACACCCTTCATCACTTTTTTTTTCTTTATCCTCTCTTAGCTTTCACATATGAGAGAAACCATGATCCTTGATTTTCTGAGTTGGCTAATTTTCATTTTGCTTAACATAGTGCTGTCAAGTTCCATCTATTTTCCTTCAAATGACATAATTTCATTCTTAAATTATAGCTGAGTAAACTTCCATTGTGTATATATATCACATTTGCTTATATATTCATCCACTGATGGACACCTAGGGTGGCTCTATAATTTGGCTGTTGTGAGTTGTGATGCTATCAACATGGGTATGCATGTATCACTATTTTATGCCGACTTTAATTCTTTAGGATAAATACCAAGGAGTAGTATAGCTGAAGCATGTGGTGGATCCATTCCTTGTCTTTTGAGGAAACTTTATATTGATTTGCATAGTGATTGTACTAATTTATAATCTCATCAACAGTGTTTAAGTGTTCCTTTTCCCCCAAGTGCTCTCCAGCACTTATTATTATTTGTATCCTTGCTGACTGCCATTCTAACACTAGTGAGGTGAAATCTCAGTGTAGTTTTGAAATGAATTTTTCTAATTGCTAAAGATGTTGAAAATTTTTTGGCTATTTGTATTTCTTCATTTGAAAAGTGTCTGTTTAGTTGATTTGCCCATCAATTAATTGAGTTATTTAGTGTTTGGGGTATAGTTTTTTTAAGTTCTTTATATATTTTAGATATTAATTTTCTCTTGGAAGAGTAGCTGGCAAAGATATTTCACCTATCCTGTAAAGCAGGACAAAATGGAAAGTACGGTCAACTGGAGTTTTGTTGATACAGACTAGATAGATGCACTTCCAAGATAGGAGTGGCACATAGTTCTAAATGGGAATTTCTGGTGGCTAGAATGCTGGAATTTTATTAGGTGGCATCTGTTTAGTAGAGATTAAATCAACGCATTCTAGGTCCAGAAAAATGTTAATTTCCGCTGGGTGTTTGGGTCTCAGGGGCCTACAAAATGACAGCAAGATTACCAACTTTCCATGGGTCTGTTCTTCACCACCCATGAATATGGCCTTCCCAGACTTATTCCCCAAGTATAATTATTTTTGCTTGTTCAATATTCTCGTTCTTATTAGCTGACATGAATCACCAAACTCAAAAGGAAAATGAGTCGCACTCTCCTACATATCTCTGAACTGAATCCCATTGGGTTTCTGTGCTTGTTTCAATTGCATTCTGGCCAGGTCACTGTGGCAATATTTGCTGTGATCCCCAGGTCTCTGTATCAGCAAGCTTTGACTAAAATAAAATTGTATAAAAAAAATCAATAATAAAATGATAAACCTCAAATACAGAGACCCTCTCAAAAATTTTTAAGTGTAAATTACTCCTCGGCCCAAAGATAAACAGAATTGAAATTCAATATTTAAAATTGAGTAATATTTAGTAATACTTAGAGTGGAAAGTAAAGCCTTCAATGCTCATATTAGAAAAGATTGGAAATGAATTAATTAAGCATCAATGAAAAGAAAAAAGAATTCTAAAGAAAATAAAAAGAAGGGATAAGGGAAATGTATTAAGTCGAATTTCAAAACTAATTTTTAAAACATCTCTGACAAATTAAATAAAGAATAAATGAGAGAAGGCATAAACAAATTTCAGAGTAAAAGAAATGTAATAAATCCATTCACTTCAATTGCAGTTTACATTGCTCCTTATAAATTTCCTTACCAGTTCAAGAATTAAACAAGTAAAAATTAAATGTTATTGGCAAAGTTTTATATTTTCTGATATATTTAAGTCTTCCTGTTTTTAGGTTTTCTATTCTTTCAGTATGATAAACAGTGCTTCAATGAATATTTTTGATTTTTATAACTATGGTTTGGTCTCTTTTATGTTTATTTTCTTTGGATACATTCACATAAGACATATTAAAATATATTGGCCAATTTCTAAAGCAATTTATAGTGGCCCAAGGAAGGTATATGACATGCATAAGTAAGTTTCTAAATATATGATTAACTCATGAATTAAAGACTTCTTTAAATGGTGTTAACTGACATGCTTTACTAGCTTGTGGATATGGTATACCAAAGGCTTTTTTTTTTCTTTTAAAAAATAGGTTTAGTGTTGCAAAATAAGTTATCAATAATTAGTTTTACTTGTAGTTAGTTATATTATTAGTGTACATGTAACTATTATTATTGATATTATGTTTTGGAAGCTTAGTCATGCAATTCTAACTTTATATGTTGTAGCATTTTCATAATTAAAACCTCCGAAAACAATTTGGATTTTTAATAGATTTAAAGGTAAATGACATGAGAAATCCCTTTAAATTCTGATTAATTTTAAATCTTATATGGTAAAATAATTTACTACGTTTGATTTTCTGGAGAATTAGAAAAAGAAAAAGAATTGTCAAGCCATGCTTTATGAATACTCAAGGAACAATACAGTCTAATAGCGAAGATCACAAAATTTAAAACTAAAATACCTGCATTTAAATCTCACCCTTACTTTATCATATCTCTGGATCTTTAAAAAAATTTTTACTTTTCTTATCTCAAATCTACTCTGTGAAAATGGGCATTATAAGGTTATTGGGAATACTATGTGAAATGTGTAAATAAAGCACTTAGAATAATACCTAGAACATAGTTGTCATTCAATAAGGCTTAGCTGTTGACACAAAATATTGGATACCTACCAGATGTGTGCTGTGTAGTAGGTTAATAGAAATTAACTAATCTCTACTCCTCATGTTGTCCATCATATTTTTCTTATTTTTATTTTTGGAGCAGTTTTCGCACAGTGATGTTTCCATTTTGTTCTTTTGTTTTTGTGTGGGTGGAAGTTAAACGAGTTCAACATATATCTTCATGATACAGAGATGTTAGGCAAAGAAGAGTTATTTCTTTGATTTTGGATGGAATTTTCTCTCATACTTTTGAATGCTTATTTTTTATTTTCCTTTTTCTTATTTTTCAGATTAAATGTATGGAAAAAGAAAAAATTAATGATAAAATAACTAAGTTTTGTAACAGTGCAATGGATTCTTCAGTGGAAAACAGTATGTATATAAACAGAGTATGGGTTCAATGTGAAAATGAAAGTTGTTTGAAATGGAGATTATTGTTAAGTGAGGATGCAGCCAAAGTTGATCACAGTAAACCATGGTATTGCTTCATGAATGCTGACTCAAGATATAATCAGTGTTCTATTTCTGAAGAAGACTTTCCTGAAGAGACTCAGCTTCATCAAAGTGGATTTAAGATTGTTTATTCACAGCTCCCTCTTGGAAGCCTGGTTTTGGTAAAATTACAAAATTGGCCAAGGTAAGGTTTTTGTTGTTTTTTTGCTAATTATTTAGGTGTAGTCTTGTTACAAAGGTTCAAAGGTTCAACTTTTTTTTCTCTTTTGTTTATTTATTTATTGACTTCTGGTCTTATCATTATTTATTCCCTTATTTCTTTGAGGTTAATTTATTCTTTTTCTAGTTTTTAAAATTTAAAATTAGGTCATTGAGTACAAATCCTTTTTTCTTCTCAGTACAGACAATTTAAGTTTGAAATGGGTTTCAAATCAAGTGCTGTACCACTGACTTACAAATGAGTTCTAATTCAAATCTGTAATAGTTACTGCCACTGAATGTTATTTTTTCGCCCACAGTGGTGCATCTTGTGAATTCTTTGTGCACATTTGAAAAGAACATATATAATTGTCCTGACACCCAAATAATTTTTTTCTTAAGATATGTATAGATTTTTACCAATATAGCTCAGTGTTTTGCATTTCCCCCAATATGTGATTAATTTCCTCAAATATTCAGTGTGCATTTTCAGTTTATAATTTCAAGTTTTATTTATTTATTTTTATTTTTTAATTTTTCTTGAGATTGAAAGAGAGAGAGAGAGAGAGAAAGAATATGAATCCTTTTTTTGTAGATGGAAACAATACAATGCTTTTGTTTTTATGTGGTGCTGAGAATCAAACCCGGGTCCTGCCGGTCCTGGGCGAGCACTCTACCAATGAGCCACAATTCCAGCCCCAAGTTTTATTTTTAATTTTATTAAATTATACAATACTATATTTGCTCTATCTCATGGCTTTGATTTTCTTATTTCAGAACTCCATCTTATTTATCTTTCATTTTCTTTATTCATTTTATGTATTCATTTTTTCATGAATTATTTTTGTCTTTTCAATTATATTTACATATAAATATTTTTTTCTTTTCCATGTTTTATTTTTCTGAAGGCATTACCAATAGATTTTCTATTCTTTCCAATCTATTATTCTTTATTGAAATTTAAGAAAAAAAAGCAGCTACCACAGGCTAGAGAACTGCTTTCAGGGAGACTCCAGGTTTGGTTGCATGTGGCTACACCCATTTTGGGACACCAGCCTGGGGCTGGGGCCTGCGTGCAAGCAGGTTTACCACCATAAGAGCATCTGTCTGTGGATTCCAGGTGGACCTCCAGGTCCAGTGTGGGGGTGCCTGCGGGTTTGGAGAAGCCTGGTGTCTTCCTGCTAAGAGTGCTGGTGGCCCTGGTCTCGCAGCTGCATCGTGGGTTTGCTCCTTTGCATGAGTGTATCCCTGGTGGTCTCTCTGCAAGTAGGAACAACACTGAGATCTTGGGACTGCAGCATGGCTGAGCCTGAAGTATCTGAAGCCCAGATCTGTGGGATAGACATTGGGTTTGCAAGGACTGATTTGGGTTTGGTGATCTCCAGAGACATCAGAGACAGGGCTGAGAAATGGTTGAACACTGGCAGAGACAGTACGACTTTCCAGCAAGATTTTATCTCTACCATATTTGGAACAGGATGTTTTTTATGCATCAGTATGTGGAGGACATTGACATGAATGGTGTTTTGCATTTTTGTTGTATTCTTATGTCTTTAATTTTTGTCTCTTTATTCACATCCTTCCTCTCTCTTTTCTATTTTCTTGGATTTTTTTTTTCACCAAATTTTCTCCAACCAACAGACAATCTCTGTTGGCTCCTCTTCCACTCTTCCTGTGAATTTTTACTTCTAGCTTCTCTTTCTTCCTCGCAATTATTGCATACTACACTACCTCTGTTCTCTCATCCACCATTTGAAATTGTAAATCGTTTAACAAATATTCTGTTTGTACTATAGATAGTTATTGAATTCATCATTTTGGTTTAATGTGAGATGCCATAGTGGGAGCTATTAGGTTTAAAGGTATATATTGTCTACACTGGGTACTCTTTATTGGTCTCACCAGTAAAGGTGAAACTCTGGAAACCTTCAGGGACACTATAGGTCTATAGGGTAGAATTTGTTCTGCCTTAGATCTATACTTTTAGATGGGAAAACACATTAACAACATGAAAAAACAAGGGAATAAAGTGCCCCAGACAAATAAAATGCTTCAACAATAGAAGCCACTGATAACACAGTAGAAGAAATTTCCAACAAGGAGTTCAGATTGTATATAGTTAAATTGATATGTGAAGTGAAGAATACTATCAGGAGTGAAATCAAAGAAAAAATACGGGAAGTAAAAGATCACTTCAATAAAGATCTAGAGATTATGGAACAAAAACAAGAAGAAATCCTCAAAATGAAGGAATCTGTAAACCAAATTATAAATTCAATAGAAAACATTACCAACAGACTAGACCACTTGGAGGACAGAACCTTAGACAATGAAGACAAAATATGTAATCTTGAAAGTAGAGTTGAACATGTGGAGAAGATGGTAAGAAACCATGAACAGAACATCAAAGAATTATGGGATAATATGAAAAGACCAAATTTAATAGTTATCAGAATAGGTGAATGAGCAGAGATACAAACCAAAAGAATGCATAATCTTTCAATAATATAACAGAAAACTTCCCAAACCTAAAGAATGGAATGGAAATCAAATACAAGAGGCTTACAGAACCCCAAATGTACAAAATTACAGCAGACCCACAGCAAGACACATTTTAATGAGAATGACTAACACACTGAATAAAGATAAAATCTTAAAGGATGTGAGGGAAAAAAATCAAATTACATATGGGGGAAACCAATTCAGATATCAACTGATTTCGCAACCCAGATCCTCGAAGCTAGGAGGTCCTGGAATAATATATTTCAAGCTCTGAAAGAAAACAATGCCAACCAAGAATTTTATATAAAGCAAAATTAAGTTTCATATTTGAAGATGAAGCTAAAACTCTCCATGATACACAAAAATTGAAAGAATTCACAACTAAAAAGCCTACACTACAGAGCATTCTCAACAAAATCTTCCGTGAGGATGAAGTGAAAACTAGCAAAGGAAGTGGGTACACTGAAGGGACATATAACCAAATGAGAAACTAAGACAAACCAAAAACCAGAAATAAATCAAAATGACAGAGAATACAGGAATACAAATCATATCTCAATAATAACCTTGAATGTTAATGACCTAAACTCATCAATCGAAAGACATATACTGGCAGATTGGATTAAAATTTTAGCAAGACCCAACAATATTCAGTTTTGAAGAGACTCACCTCATGGGCAAAGACATCCACAGACAGAAAGAAGGTGAAAGGATGGGAAAAAACGTATTATTCTTATGGATTGCATAAACAAGCAGGGGGCTCCACTCTCATTTCTGATAAAGTAGACTTCAAACCAAAGTTAATCAGAAGAGACAAAGAAGAACATTTCATACTTCTTAAGGTAAGTATATATAAGCAGGACATAACAATTATAAATATTTGTGCCCCAACAATCGAGTATTTATGTACATCCAACCCTTCTCAATTTCAAGAGTCAAATAGACCACAATACAATATTACTGGGTGACTTCAACACACATCTCTCACTACTGGACAGATCTTCCAAACAAAAACTAAGTAAAGAAATTATAGAACTAAATAATACAATCAATAATTTAGACTTAAAAGACATATATAGAATATTTTATCCATCAATGAGCAAATATACTTTCTTCTCAGCAGCACATGGCTCCTTCTCTAAAATAGACCATATTTTATGCCACAAAGCAACTCTTAGTAAATTTAAAAAAAATAGAGATAATACCCTGCATTCTATCAGTCCACAATGGAATGAAATTAGAAATCAATGATAAAATAAAAAATAGCAGCTACTGTAACAAATAGAAACTAAATAATACACAATTGAATGATGAATGAACAGTAGAAGAAATCAAGGATGAAATTAAAAAATTCTTAGAGGTAAATGAGAACACTGATACAACATATCAAAATCTCTGGGACACTTTGAAGGCAGTGCTAAGAGGAAAGTTTATTGCATTGAGTGCATTCATTAAAAGAGTAAAAATTCAACAAATAAATGACTTAATACTGCATCTCAAAACCCTAGAAAAAGAAGAACATATCAACACCAAAAGCAGTGGAAGAAAGGAAATAATTAAATTCAGAGCTGAAATTAATGAAATAGAAACAAAAGAAACAATTGAAAAAAATTGATAAAACAAAAAATTGATTTTTGAAAAAATAAATAAAATATATAAATCCCTGGCCATGGTAATGAAGAGAAAAAGAGAGAAAACTCAAATTTCTAAAATACAATATAAAGAAGGAAATATCACAACAATCATGTCTGAAATATAGAAGATAATTAGAAACTAATTTGAAAATTTATACTCTAATAGAAAATATCAAAGAAAATTTATACTCTAATAGAAAATATCAAAGAAGTCAACAAATTTCTAGAGACACATGACCTACCAAAACTGAATGAGGAGTACATACATGATTTAAACAGGTTAATTTCAAGTAATGAAATAGAAAATGCTATCAAAAGCCTAACCAAGAAAAGCCCAGGACCAGATGGATTCTCAGCTGAGTTCTACAAGACTTTCAAAGAAGAATTAATACCAATACTCCTCAAAGTATTCCATGAAAAGGAGGAAACCCTTCCAAACTCATTCTATGAGGCTAATATCACCCTGATACCAAAACCAAACAAAGACACAACAAGGAAAGAAAACTTCAGACTAATATCCCTGATGAACATAGATACAAAAATTCTCAATAAAATGCTGGTAAACCACATTCAAAACATATTAAATAGATAGTGCACCATGATCAAGTGGGATTCATCCAGGGATGCAGGGTTGGATCAACATATGAAAATCTGTTAAATGTAATTCATCATACTAATAGACTTAAAAATAAGAATCATATGATCATCATTAATGGATGAAGAAAAGCATTTGACAAAATACAGCACATCTTCATGTTCCAAACACTAGAAATCTAGGGATAATAGGAACATAGGTCTACATGATAAAAACTGAACCCAAGGGCAGCATCATTTTAAAAGAGAAAAACTG